AAGAGCAGTGGCCCTCTCAACCATCCCACACCCATTCTGGTTCTCACTGTTAAGTGCTACAGCCCAGCCACACCTAGTACATGCTCAGACACAAAGTTCACGTGGTTCAGTGGGAGCTAAGACCTAGCCCATCCTGTTCTACACCCATGCTGGCTCTCACGAGTACCAGTGGGTATTGGAGTCTAGCCAAATCTGGCACTTCCCAGACCCAGTCCACACCCATGCCAAGTGAGTCTGCATCCTTGTCCAACCTTTGCACTCACCAGTGGGAACACCAACCCAGCTGGGGCTTCCCTTTAGCTCCCCAACCCGACCTGTTCCCAGCCACAGCTCTTGCTTGTGCCAATGGAAATTGTTGTTCCAAAGGGGTGAGCACCCATACGCCCTCACAAATTCTGCTTCCAGTCCTGATTCACTCACATGTTGCTCAGTGTCATGGCCCAGCCATACATTATCCATTCCCTGCTGTGACTCTCAGTAACAGGCACCTTGATCCAGCCCTGCCAGAAAGGCTCCAATCCCAGCCTCAGTGTGTGACTGTGAATGGTATTTGGTGACAGTAGATGCTAACTACCCCAGCTGAGGTCTCCCAGGTGAGCTGGTACTTTAGTCTGACCCTTAAAGGTCTCCTTACCCAACTCCAAACAATTCAGTCTCAGCACCCTTGTTTACCTGCTAGAACAGTGGCAATGTCCATGGAAGTCCCTCGGAAGTCATTCCTCACCTGGACACGAACTCTCAGGTTCCTGCATGAACCCACCTGTGCCATCCACCAGACACCTTATAGACCCACAATCCCGAGTCCCCAGAGCTCACTGCCAGGCACCTGAGGGCTTCCCCTGTGCCATTGGTGCCCTGAACACCTGACCTTGATCCCATCAGTAGTCTCTAGGCAGCTGGCGGGTGGAAATCCTGGTTCATGCCTCTTTTTTTCTTTCTTCTTTCCTTCCTTCCTTCCTTCCTTCCTTCCTTCCTTCCTTCCTTCCTTCCTTCCTTCCTTCTTTTCTTTCTTCCTTTCCTTTTTTTCTGAGAAGGAGTTGCATTGATGAGCTGATTCTATGTGTTAAACTGACATGTACCTGAAATAGACAAACAGTTTACAAAAGCCAATCTCTGGCACTTGCATATCCCAATATGAGAACTCACAAAGAAGCAGTAAGTGAGATAGTATGGTGTTGAAGTCTTCATGGCCACATCGTAGTCCGCTGGGACAGGGAACAGACTGGGAGACATAGCAGCAGCCGTCTAAGATATAGTCACATCACTCAGGCAAAACCACGACAGCAACTCAGTGAAGGAAACGATAGTCTCTTACGTGAGTGACCTGCCCTCACTGGTTGTCCACCTGGAAAAGAAGAACCAGGTAAAACCATGATCCTTATCTGATATCACCTCCCCTCAAAATAGAAAAGTCAGAATGATAATATAACAAGCAAAACAATGAAGCTTCTAGAATTGAATATGTATAATGTCTTCACCTTAAATATGAAAAGTTGTACATAAAGGAGAAAATGAAATTGAGTTCCACTAAACTTAAAAAACTCTGCGAACTAATAAGCTGGGAGGAGACACCAGAAATGCATATATGCAATGAAAAACTCAATATGCAGAACATGTAACAGACTCCTATAAATCAAAAAGAAAAGAACAACTTAATTATGAATCGAGTGAAAAGACTTGAGCAGGAACTTTAAAAAGGGGAACATCCAAATTATCAGATGTGCATTTAAAAGTGTTTAGCAAGTCATCACGTAAAGTGCAACTCCAAGCACAGAACATAGCAACTCCACTCTCAGAAACTGCGGAGACGGATAGCACCATGTGCTGGCGGAAACGTGGAGTGACGGATATCACTGCTTTGCAGTGTTTGAGAATTCAGTTAAAGCTAACAGAAAAGTGATCCCTGCACTTGTTCAAGATGCCACGAGAGATCATGGTGATAAGTGTAGGGCCTGCTTCAGCAAGGGCTTGCAGCCGAGGAGGAGACACACTGGGCTTCCCTTCAACTCTCACCTTGACAGGTAGGGATTTGTAACCAAGGAGCAGGATGGGGTCAGTGGGTAGAATGTTTACCAAGAGGAGGCAGCAAAGATAATGGGTGTCTGGTTATCCTGACTTGACGGGATTATTGCTGAAAGAAAGCCAAGGTGATAATATATTGAAGGTATCCAAATACCAAGGGTGGGGGTATTCCCCAAACTTACTTGGCAGAATTCTTGCTCCAATAGGATTCTACAAGGTCAGAGAATGAATCCTTGGTCAGGCCCAGTCACAAACGACTTCAGACTGTGACTGAAGTTTTGATGTAAAGAGAGTCTTTGTAACTAGGCAAAGTTAGAAATTTACTCTTGACATACACCCAACCAAATCAGGGTTTACATCTATGGCAGTTTCATTCATAAAAGTCCCAACCTGAAAGGAATCCAAATGCTCATCAACAGCAGATGGAGTGTAAAAGGAACATATTTCTGCTATGGGTACCACATAGCTGAATCTCACTTGGAAAATGTTCCATCAGGAGTGTGAGGGTGCATTGTATATTCTGGTTTGTAGGAAGGTGAGAAGCAGGCAGCATTAATTGAATGCAGCAACAGCATGCAGAATAGTGATTGTCTCTGGTTTTTGCTTGGGAGGAAGCACAAAAGAGGGAAGGTTGTCCTGGCACCCCTGGCACCTCTGGTTTGTGCTGCTTGGCCCATCTGGGCAGCACTGACCATGGCTCAGTGCTTCATCTGTTCCTGACCTCTGAGCAGATGTTCAGGCCAGACTAGGTCACCAGGGAGAATGAAACCATCACCACAGCCTACACAACAGAAGGGACACACTGGGCTGGATCCCTTCTCTGGGAGAAGTCAAGAAGACCCAGTGGTGGTAGCAGATGAGCAGTTTGCAGCCAAGGTGAGGTCAGCAGGGCAAGCCAAGAACACCTGCTGGAGCATCTCAAATGGAAGTGCACACCAGTCACGTGCAATGACAGCAGATATAAACCAACAAACGCAGGGTGGCTGAGGGTCCCATTGAGGCAGGGAGGGTGGAAATATCATACCTGATACTTAACACAAATCAGCCACAATACTGGGCAGGAGCAGGGAAAATGCATATGTAGGAGGGAGATAATCCACTCTTAGGATGGCCTTGAGACCAGCTGTTGAAACATCAGGCACTGTCATCTATTTCTACAACTCTCTCGCCTGGCTTATTTTAGGAGATCCAGATTGGCCCCCACTCAAAAGGGAAGCCTTGTATCTTCTCTTAGGGGAAAGATGAGAGCTTGAACTCTGTCAAACACACAGCCCAAACCCTCTACTGGTAAGTTGGCAATAGTTACAATAAAAACAGGTCTGCGTAGTGCAGAGAGCTGGCCTGTAGAGCATTGGTTTCATTGAACCTTCTGGGATTGTCTTGATCTGCCATTGATACCCTTAGTCCCTTGCTTCACTCAGATGTCATCTCTGCCTTGCAGACTCAAATCATTCTGCTGCCTGAGCTCAGCCTGGCAGGAGTGGAAATCCTTGGCTCCTTGAGCATCAGGGCATGGCCCAAAGGGGCCATGAAACTCAACCGGAAGGGCCAGGGAAGGCCATTGTCAATGGGAGAAGAGAAGGGATCCAATCCAAACGCTTTCCCTTCCTGGCTCCTAGGAGCAAGCCTGGTTCCTTTGTTTCCTGATCTTGCGGAGTCACCCTCCCTGGCAAGGCAGGTGGCTGGGCCTGCTGGGTGTCCCCACTGGCTGGCCCCTCCAACAATGCTTTGCCTTCCTGCTGACTCCCTGCCCCTTTCCCTTGCACTCACTGCTCTGGGCTTAATTCTCACATAAACCAAGAGTACACAAGCTTGTTGTAGGTTCTGTTTTTCTAGGAAATCTCAACAAAGACATTTAAGTTGGGAGTCTTTGTATTTTGCAATCTATTTTTAGAATTTCATATGTCAATAAAGGTGTACCTGTTTTCATACAGAATTATGTTTCTGGATCACCTGGATAATCATTTAATAATTTGTTACTTCCACACTATTTCAATGCTTTACCGTAAGTTTATGTTTATATGCTTAAGGTTATATTGATAATAGGTAGTTTAATTTTTATGAGCCATTGTCAAAGAAAGTAGACACATGAGATGAAATCAATGTTTACTGTTTGCTAAAGACGGAATAAAGTGATTAATCAAAGAATCTAGTAATCTGAGAACACGAAAGTGGTAAGCGTGTTTGCATTTTCATCTGAGGTCTGGTGAACTTAAAAGAATCTATGTCGGGACTGGAAGCCCATATTCATATTGGAATGACACTTAATTTCAGCAAAATGATTTATGTTAATTTGAATTTTGTGACTGGCAGAAGATGTATAACAGAGAACGCAGGGAATCTCATGAGGAAACTCGAGCAAGAAATTCTTTTCGTTATAAATTATTCTCGTCTTCATTATAAACTCTCCTGGAATAGCTGTATTATTTGCTCATGAGTTGGTGCCAGTGGATTATCTAAGGGGAGTGCTGAGGTTAAGGTTAATTTGGGTAACAACAAAAACCACCATAAAGAAAAACTCAATATTATACTTGCATTTACTATTTAATGAATGTTTGTTGAATATGCAGAAGAGTGAAACTTCCACCAAGCAGCTGGGGCTTGAGGGTGGCGGTCCATGAGTCAGCCGGCTGGGCAAACATGTCAGAAGTAAACAACCTTCTCTATGGCCAAACATCCAGGGGCCCGGATGTGGGCTCTCCACCCTCGCTGCAGCACCTGGTGTGCCCAAAGGGGAGACCAGCACTCTTTTGAAATGGGAACACAGAGTACACAGTGAGAGACTCTGGTTATCATCATCTGTTGACGAAGGATGCCGTCGTGACACCATTTTATCTCAACAGGCTAAAGTCCTCTGATAAACAATGTGGGAAAACTGTGTCCACATTTTGGTAGAAGTGTATGTATATATATAGTGAGATGAGAGGTACAGAGAGACAGTTCCATTACCAACTTTTCCTGAAGGTGGGTTTACAGCAATGGGGTCATTCAGAAGTTTCCGCTTCCTCCTGATCCTGTACCTGCTAAAAGGGACCCTGAGCAATTCACTCATTCAGCTGAACAATAATGGCTATGAAGGCATTGTCGTGGCCATTGACCCAAATGTGCCAGAAAATGAAACACTCATTCAGCACATAAAGGTAAGTGTGGGATGGCAATTACCTATATACTTCGGTAATGGTAAGCATCACTGTAAGCCTCGTGCCATGAAAAAAAGATGTTTTTTTTTTTTGTCTGAGCCTCAGTTTTTTCATCTGAAGAATGGAAAGTATAGCACTTCAATAGTAGGATGAGAAAATAAATGCCAGATATATGTATGTATCAGAGCCTGACACATTTTTTTGGTGCATCAAATAATGTCTGTATTTGCTGCTGTGGACTGAATTATTCATTTGGAGCCTTAAAAAAGTCGGCTACATAGGGCAGATGCACAGAAGCTACTGCTCGGTTTTTACCATGGACATGTATCAGATTCTCCTTTTATTCTAACTGTAAACCCTTTCCAGCAATACTAAATATGGGCTCAGAATGAAAGCTCTGGATTTCACAGAGCCTCCAGTGAGCCACACGGGGGCAGCACCTCACCTTGTTACCGTTAAGGAGCCAGGAGAGGCAATTTGCTTTTAGTAGTCAGGCAGAGAGATTAGAGAGGCTAACAGCCAGGAATAACAAGAAAAGTAAAAGTTCGGAGACAGAGTAGTGTAAGAGTGATTGCATGTCTGTAAGAGGCAAGTAAGTACCCCTCTCATCAATTTTCTGAGAATCAAATATAGAAAATGCATGCATGTAGGGAGAAGCTGGAAATTCCGTGTGATTTCATGACAAGCAAATCTGAAATGATCTCAAAGTTTAAAAAAACATTTATTTTATTATTATTATTTATTATTTTATTTATTTGCCAAGCAGAGTTACATAGAAACAGGGAGAGGCACAGAGAGAACAGCAATCCTCTGGTGTTTCCCAAATGGCCTCAGCTGCTGGAGCTGGGCCAGGTGGGAGTCAGCTTGGGCTCCAGTCTCTCCCACCGAGGACAGGGGCTCACATCACTAGCTGATATTAAGTAATTGTTATTCCTAGTGCTCCACTATTAAGTTTATCACAACCTCATCAGCCAGTCTCTACGATATTTTCTATTTCGTAAACGGGAACAACCAAAGTTCAGAATTGGAAAGCGCTAAATGTTCTTTAGCAAATGGTGGAGCCAGGACCAGCATCTGCCTCTAGAGTGTGCCTGGCGAAGGGTGTGGTGTGACACGGGGTGTGTGTGTGTGTGTGTGTGTGTGTGTGTGTGTGTGTGTGTGTGATGCCAGCAAGGACCGCTGGGGCCGTTGCTGACAGTATCCGCAGCTCTGGCTCCGGGAGTGTGGAATGCAGGTGTGACCTTGAACCATCGCGCTGTTCTCAGTCAAGAGCACTACCTGTGTTTTCCTCCTCCCCAGGACATGGTGACTCAGGCTTCTCCGTACCTGTTTGAAGCTACAGGGAAAAGATTCTATTACAAAAATGTTGCCATTTTGATTCCTGAAAAATGGAAAACAAAACCTGACTACGTGAGACCCAAACTGGAGACCTACAAAAATGTGAGAGCATCAATACTTTCAAAACTGATTGTTTCGTTTTTGCAATGCATGGCTTTAAAATCAAACTACTCTGGAATTAAAGGATGTGCTTTTCAAATACCCCAATGTGGATGCGGTCCCAGTGCTGGCTCAGACCCCACGGTGACAAAAGCCTTTTTGTTAAATCACAGGCCGATGTCCTGGTCGCTGCAGCTCAGCCAGGAGGGAATGATGAACCCTACACTGAGCAGATCGGACGGTGTGGAGAGCAGGGCGAGAGGATCCACTTCACTCCCGACTTCCTGGCAGGAAAAATGCAGACTCAATATGGACCGCAAGGTACGGAGCAGATCAAATCCTCCACTGCATGTCTCAGGATGTAAGAATTCTGTTTTCAAGATGAGTAATAATGGCATTGCCTGTATAAGTAAGCATATAAAATTCAACAAAATAGCTACATATAGATTAACTGAGACAGCATTTTCTTTTACTTATAATGGGGATTAAGAATAGTCCAATTGGGTCCGGCGCGGTGGCACAGTGGCTCAGTGGTTGAAGTCCTCGCCTTGCACGCCCGGGATCCCATATGGGCACCGGTTCTATCCCGGCAGCCCTGCTTCCCTTCCAGCTCCCTGCCTGTGGCCCCGGAAAGCAGTCGAGGACGGCCCAAAGCTTTGGGACCCTGCACCCGCGTGGGAGACCCGGAAGAGGCTCCTGGCTTCGGATCGGCATAGCATCGGCCGTTGCGCTCACTTGGGGAGTGAATCATTGGATGGAAGATCTTCCTCTCTGTCTCTCCTCTCTGTATATCTGCCTTTCCAATTAAAAATAAAATAGTCCAATTTTCATGTAAATTTTATTTCTCAATTTTACACATTTTAAAAATGGTATCTTAATTTTGTCAATTATTGTCTTACCACATGATACTTGTAAATTAGTAAATTTCTGTGCAATTGCATGGAGACTCACTGCCTGCAATGTAATCTGCCTGCAATTTGTGTTGTGGCCACCAGATGGCAGAATTGCATAGGGCACGCAGATTACATTGCCATAAAAGGATCTCTTTAAAATTCAAATTTCTTTTTTTTTTAAAGATTTATTTTAATTATTTTTTTATTGGAAAGGCGGATATACAGAGAGGAGAGACAGAGAGGAAGATCTTCCATCCGATGATTCACTCCACAAGTGAGCGCAACAGCCGATGCTATGCGGATCCGAAGCCAGGATCCAGGAACTTCTTCCAGGTCTCCCACGCGGGTGCAGGGTCCCAAAGCTTTGGGCCGTCCTCGACTGCCCTCCCGGGCCACAGGCAGGGAGCTGGAAGGGAAGCGGGGCTGCTGGGATTAGAACCTGCACCCATATGGGATCCTGGCAGGGTTCAAGATGAGAACTTTAGCAGCTAGGCCATACCGCCGGGCCCTACAATTTTTTTTGTATCTATTTACTTGGAAAGCAGAGTTAGAGAAGGAGAGAAATGGAGGAAAGGAGAGAGAGAGAGAAAGAAGTCTTCCATCTGTGGGTTCATTCCTCAAATAGCTGCAATGACCTGCGCTGAAGCCAGGAGCCAGGAGCTTCATCCAGATCTCCTACGTGGTCGAGGGGCACAAATGCTCGGGTCATCTAGCATCGCTTTTACCAGGCCATTATCAGGGTGCTGAATGAAAAGTTAAGCAACCAGACTCAAACTGGGGCAATAAGATGCCTGCACTATTGGCAACAGCTTCACCCGCTACCCAACAGAGCAGATCCCTTGAATTTCTTGAATGCAAAAATGATTACTATCCCCCAGAATTATCTTGATTTATTTATTTAAACAAACAAGGTAGCAAAAACAAGCACAAGAATCCTTGCACCTTTATGCTCCACTTCCAAATGTACAGGGACACTTAAAGATCTTTTTAGAAAGGGATTAAACACTTTACTCTGTTGTTCGAGAACATTCTTTCATCTCCTTAGAAGGAGTATGAGCTAAGTGTATGACTCAAGAGATACACATTGAACCGATTTTCCCAACTCGTCTTTCCGAGTTTCCTCACACCATCATGACCACATATAGTGTCATCCATTCACATTATCTCCTTCCTGTGTTATCAACTCATCCCTTCTCCCTCACAGTATTTCCTTATCTTTTTTTTTTTTTTTAAGGAGAGAGAGAAGTTATTTATTGAAAAGCAGAATTATGTAGAGGGAGAGAGAAACGGGGGGTTGCCATTCACTTTTCACTCCCTGAAAGGCTACCATGGTTGGCCCTAGACCAGGCTGAGCAAGAAACCTGAATATCCATTTGGGTCTCCCACACATGTCTTGGGAGCCCAGCTCTTGGGCCATCTTCTACTGTTTTCTCAGGCACATTAGCACAGAGCTTGATCAGGAGGGCAGCAGGCAGGACTCCAATTGGTACTGTGACGTGCTGTCCTGACATCACACGCAATAGCTTAACTCACTGTACTGCTAGCCCCTTCCCTCCTGTTTAAGGGACCAGTGGTTACACCTCAGCACCTACGAAATCAAGTCCAAACCTTCAGAGCTGGAGAACTAGCACTTCCTTCATATGCCCCTATAACCAGGCCCTTTAAATCCAAACTACTTGGAACTTACGCTCCAGAAAAACTGAAGCCTCTAAGATTCTTCCAAAATTAAGAAGCACTCACTGACCCAGCTGGTAAGTTCCAGATACTGTGTGCCCAGCAGGGACAATACAGAGATCCGATTTGCTCTTCTTAGGGAGAAGACAAGTGTGCAGCATGCAAGACTGGCCTTTAAGCAGCAATGGCAATGGAAGCTGGCAAGTGCCACAGTGAGATACAATTTTATTACATCTGGTCAAAGGATGTCAGGGAAGGTCTAGATGAGACCAAGTTTGAGTTTGAAAGAAGAGTAGGACTTCTCCAGGCAGAGACGTGATGTGGCAGCTGGGTAGGGAGATTCCAAGCAGAAAGGGGAAAAGAATCAGAGATGAGCAAGTGCCTGGTGTTGTCTAGCAAAGAAAAGGATCAGGAGTTCATCACAGTCACAGAATGTTGAAGGCAGGTGGTTAGCGGCGACCATTAACATCAAGGAAAGGGATAGCGCTGAGTCAGCAGGGCCCATGCCTGTAATGAGCCAGGCAGCCACCTGACTCTGCGACGCTCCCCTGGGCTGAACATGAGCACTGGCCGCTGTTTCAACTGAGGGTGAAGAACTGCGCGGCAGTTAACAGGTGCCAGTACATGACACAGGTAGCATTTACGAATCACAGAAGCGTAGGTCTTTCCAAGAGAAGCATGCCTTCAGTGAATTGTTGTTACTATCAAAGCACCATGAACCTGAAGACTGGGCTTCCCCCAGTGGGAGAAGGCATTTTGCTATTGCAGTGGTAATCGGGTGTTTACAATATCTTCACACAGGGAGAGCATTTGTCCGGGAATGGGCTCGTCTGCGATGGGGAGTGTTTGATGAGTACAATAACAAGGAGAAATTCTACTTAGCCAGCGGGAAAAACGAAGCTGTAAGGTATGCATGTTTTAATTTTGCTTTTCCCAAGCCACTTTAAATTGGAACCACATTTTCATATTCATTGATGAATGTTAAGCTAGCAGTCTTCTGTTGTTCTAGCTCTAATTTCTTCTTAGTGCTTTCTTTTTCACATTTCCACAAAGTTCTAACTTTGGTTTTCAAATGCTTCAGTTAGTAAAATTCTCTACTCTAAGGCAACTAACTACTTGCCTTTTTAAAAACTTGTGTCAGCCACCGCTCACTGCTCAGGGGTTGTGCTCAAGGCTCTGTCTTCCTGTGCCAGGGTCAGTGTATGAACAGTGCTAACCGGGCTCTCAGTGGCCGGGAGGGCAGAACCGGGCCTTGGTGGACTTGGTCGGTGGGAATGGCCCTGGTAGCAACTGTGAAACTTACCTGGAAAATAATCCAGCTTTAAAACACCAACACATTCCCTCGTGGACAGTTCTAGACCCTGTATCAGCAGAAAGCAAGCTCAACCCTGGAAATACTTGACCTTGCCATGGTGCCTTTGGCCAAGTTCTTGTAACCTTGTAACCAGCCCTTTCAGTGCGTGTAGACTGCGCAACAGAACAGACCTGAGCCATGAGGGACTTACAAACGTGCTTCACTAACAGGGGGAAACAAGACTTTATTAACTTGAGAGGGGGAGGGAAAGAGGGAGAGATACAGATATGAAGAGAGAAAGACCAGTCTTTTATCTGCTCATTCACTTCCCAAATGACTAAACAGCCGGGGCTGGGTAAAGCATGCAGGCACACGCACCATGTTCCTTCCATAGCAGCCAAATGATGTCTGCTTAAAATTACCATGTCTTCTTAAGTTAAATTTGTTGGGGCTGGATCTGTGGTGTGCCATATGAAGTTGCCACCTATGGAACCAGCATCACAAATGGACACCAGTTAGTGTCCCAGCTGCTCCACTTCCGGCACAGCTCCCTGCTCATGCTCCTGGGGAATCAGCAGAGCATGGCTATAGCACTTGAGCTTCTATAGAAGCTCTATGCATGAGGGAGACCCAGAGAGGGCTCCTGGCTCCTGGCTTCAGACCCACCCAGCTCCAGCCATTGTGACCATTTGGGGAGTGAACCAGGAGATGGAAGATTGTCTCCCCACTACCCTATCTTTCTCCCTGCCCTCTCTGCCGTTACTTTGCCTTTCAAATAGATAAATAAATGTTTAACATAATTTTATGATTTAATAATATATTTAATATTTAATAATGTGTGTTATTTATTCTCTAAGCTTTTAAATTAATTTTAAGACATGAAAGTAATCAAGGGAACTGTTTAAATGACGACAGCTACTTAAAGTGATGTATTGCATAGAGAGACATTCGCAGGGGTTGGAGATCACTATTACCATCATTATCTAAGTTTGTTTATGAAATTGTAATCAATGCAATAACACATGAAACTATGCAGATTAAAAAAGGGATACTAGAAAATAGAAAATGGCTTTTACTCAGATGGCATTCGGCTGACTTGGAAAACCCAAGAGAATAAGTTGAAACTAAAATTGATAAGAAGTCAATAAGATGACCAAATAGAAGATAAATACTCAAATTATTGTTGCTTATGTAAATAACAGCTAATTCAAGAATATAATAGAAAAATTATTTTTTCTCAAAGTAGTGATTAAAGGTATAATAGAAGTAGGAAAAATTATAATAAGTGTGGAAGACATATTTGAAAAAACTGTGAAATTCTTCTAAAGGATTTAAAAGAAAATTAAGGTAAATTCAGAGATTTCCAATCCATGGAACAAATAAATTCAACTAAAATTGCAACATAGGTTTTATGAAACTGGTCAAAAGGGTATTCATGTTTAGCTTATTTTGAAAATCCTAGGAAGTCCCAGAATTCATTCAATAGATAATAGCTATGACAAGTTTTTGAAAGATGAATTTATTTATTTACGTGAAAGTTAGAGGTACAGAGAAAGGTAAGGACAAAATTAAATCTTCTATTTGTTGGTTTACTTCCCAAATTGCTAAAAGGCTGTGGCCGGGCCAAGCTAAAATCTAGATCCAGGAGCTTCTTTTAAGTACTCCAGGGATCCAAGCACTCAGGCCATGTCCTGCTTCATTTTCCAAGGTCATCAGCTGGGAGCTGCATCAGAAGCGGAGCAGCTGGTTCTCGAACCAGTGCTCATGTGGGATGCTGGTGTTACAGGTGGGGGTGGCAGATTTACTTGCTAAGCTGTATCACCAGCCCTATGATTGACATTGTGACTTCATAGGGACTTCATCCACATGCTTTAATTGCAGTACCAACAAAGGCAAGTTTTGAAAAGAAACACTAATAACATGGACTTGATTTTCCAAAGTGTAAATATATTAGAAATTGTATTAATTAAAACAATACGGATTGACAGATATACAACTATATATCTATATACACAATTTACTTTCTTAATATAGAAAGAATTATGAATCCACGTGGAAATATAGGATTTTTTAAGCATCAGTTGAAGACATTTTTAAGACATCAGTTTAGTATGAACTGTGTGAAGAAAATGAATAAATTCCCTTATAATTGCGTAGACTCATTATTTTCTTAAATTGTAATGAAAACCAAAAGAACATTAAGAAATAATAAATCTCCACAGAATGAATGTCTTCTTTGCATTCAACAATCGAAAAGAAAATTTCTTGGCACACAAGCCAAACATAGCTCAATAAAAAAGTAGACAAACAAAAATACAGAAAAAGATATTTGTAAAAAAAATTTTAAACCAAACTTTCAATTAAAACCAAGCTTAAAACCAGGTTTGGTACATAAAGAGCCTTTGAAAATCAGTAAAACAATAACACCTGAATGGAAAAATAGACAAACAAAAATGAATAATTCACAAAGGGAAAAATTAAAATGGAAATCAATCTTATGTTGCAACAGGTTAAGCCACTCCCGTGATGTCAGCATCCCATCTGGATGCCAGCTTGAGTCCTGGCTGCTCCACTTCCAATCCAGGTCCTTGGAAAGCAGCATTAGATGTTCCAAATATTTCAGCTCCTGCCAACTACTTGGGAGACTAGGAAGGAGTTCCAGGGTGGAACTTTGGCCTGGACAAACCCCAGCTCTTGCAGCCATTTGGGGAGTAAATCAGCAGACAGAAAATTTCTTTCTCTATCTTTCTCTCTGAAGTGCCACCCTTCAAATAAATAAGAAAATCTTAATAAGGAGAGAAAAAATAAAAAGGGCCAACGAACATACAAAATGCTCCTACTTGCTAGTAGTCAAAGAGATGTGAATTTGACAGATTCATTTATTACCTAGTAAGTTTCTGTCTGTAGGATGAGAGCCTAGAGGACTGTTGGTGATGTTTTCTAAGAAGTAATTTGCGTGTCAGGTATCGAATACCCATCGATTTTCTCATTTCTTGACCCAGGAATTTCCTGTTTGCAAATCTGATTTAAGGAAAGGATAAGACGAGCCTTATCAGTTAGCTTTGAAATACCTAACCTGTGGGATCTGATAGCTTAGTCGGTGAATCAATCATGAGGCAAACTTGGAAATGCAGTCAAAATATTACTCATAATTTTGTTTATTCATTGATATTAGTGCATCCTTTTATTATTGAAATTGTGCAAAACTGAAGCAAAATAGACTGAATGCATACTATATATAGTATCAATATATATGAAAATATTAAAATCACAAATGACAAATATATTTCAAATGGAATCATATATTAAAGATTTTTTTTTTAAGATTTATGGATTTTTGTAAAGAAGAGGTGCAGAAAGAGAGAAAGAGGGAGATCTTCATGTGCTAGCTCACTCCCCAAGTGGCTGCAAAACATGGGGTTTGGCCAGACGGAAACCAAATCACAATACTGGCCTCTCAATATGGAGTCTTTTTAAGGTAGAAAGCAAAGCTATATGTGAGATACACTGATATATAAAAACAGGAGAAAATACTTCAACATGTCAATAGTCACTTATTTCTCATAGTGAGACATGATTTTATCTTTTTATACTTTTCACTAATTTTCAAATTTGCAGTATTGATATTATTTATATTTGCAAAATATAGCTAAAATATAATAATGGGAGAAAACAGCTCATTCATACTATTAGCAAAACTCATGAGTATGTAGCATAAGTGTCAACATCAACAATTATGAAAATGCAAGAACTTTGCAAAAACCTAAGCAACAAATTAATTAGAAAAGGAACAGAAAACAGGAAAATGTCAACAAGCGGTTTGGAGAAAATGAAAGAGAACTCCTGATTTTTCAGGAGCTAGGAGGTGCCGAAGGACTTGGAGCCTAATTAATAATGCAGAGTCCTAAGCCAGATGCAGCTTTCTGTTGCATAAAAAAAAGTTTTGGGGAGCCCTGAAGATACTTTCTGAGAGACAGAATGTATGCTGCTGATGATTTCATAATTTGGACCTGCAAGGACACGTGTTTGTTTCTTGGGATGTGAGTAGAGCAGGCCATTTCAGAGCCTGATCCTTTGAAACTCTCCCATGATGTGTTCCAGATGCTCAGCAGCTGTTACTGGTAGGAGTGAATTCAACAAATGCCAAGGGGGCAGCTGCATCAGCAGGCCCTGCAGACCCAACGCCCACACAGGACTGTACGAGGAAGCCTGCGAGTTCCTCCCTGACACGAAACAGGAGGCCAAGGCGTCCATCATGTTCGCACAGAGCATCAGCTCGGTAAGCACCTCTAGGCTTTGTCCCTTACATACGCACATGTGTGGTGAGGTTTTCTGGCCAGGCATTCTCAGGGAGATCAAAGGTACAAGGGAAACGAGGAAATCATCAGTCTTAAGGTAAAAGTCAGCAGCTCCCAGCTTTGGGGTGAGTCGGGGTCCAGTTCTCCATTTCTGTCTCACTAGCATTTAGTTTAAGAGCTTAGAAGTACTTCAAATGCTCCTAAGAGTATACAAGGTTGCAAATTCTTAGGTAAGTAAGAAATTTATAAGAAATAAGCGAAAGTTCTTTTAATTAGTCAGTGAAAACTTAACAGGAAGTTTTTACTTGAAAGAGTTTTTTTGTCTATATATTTGCCTTAGATGCTAACTGAAAATGGTTTTGAAAGAGTAGTGGTGCCCTTCAAAAGTTCATGCAAAGTTTTAATAACTTTAAATAATTTAAAAGTATATTTTGCTGCTTTTTATCTTTTTCCCACTTTCTTTGAAAGGCACAGATATGTAAAGAGACAAAAACAGACATGGAGAGGTGTTGCATCTGTTGATTACCCAAATGCCCACAACATCCAGGGCTGGGCTGGCTGGGGCTTAAGTGAGAGTACAAATCTTAATCTAGGTCTCCCATATGGATAGCAAGGATTCAGCTGTCAACTGCTGCCTCCTACAGTGCATGTTAGGAGAAAGCTAGAAAAACAGCAGAGGCAGAACTGGAGTGCAGACACACACATATGGAATGCACGCAGCCCAAAGGGTCTGTTTAACAAGTATACTAAACACCTGGCCCACTGCTTTGCGACTTTTATTTTTAAAACAGTTTATTTGAAAGACAAAATGACAGAGAGAGAGAGAGAGAGAGGGAGAAGTGAGAAATTTTTCCATCCGTTGGTTCACTCCCCAATGCCTGCAACAGTCAGAGCTGGCCCAACCAGAAAGAAGAACCAGGAACTCCATCTAAGTCTCCAACATGGATGATAGGGGCCCACGGACTTGGACCATCTTGCATAGCCTTTCTAGGCATATTAACAGGGAGCTGAATTGCAAAGCAGGTAGAACTTGAGTAGCACTCACATGGGATGCCAACATTGCAGGTGGCATCTGCAGTACTGCCCCTCCTCTACTGCTATGTTAAATGACTGACTACAGCGGTTCATTGTTGCATCATGTAGGTTAAACCACTGCTTGTAGCAGTGGCATCCTATATCAGTGCCAACTTCCCCTGGCTTCAATTTGGTCCAGACCTAGCTACTGCCACATAGTAATGAAACTTTCTCTCTCTCTCTCTCTCCCAGTCTACTTTGCAAATAATATTTAAGGAACCAAAACTTAATGACACACATTTCTGCTGTAACTGGATCTAGCACCCCCATATAATAGTATTGAAGTTCATGCAGAGTACTGTGAGATCAAAAAGGATTGAGTGGTAGATTTCCAGGGAAAAGAATAGGAAAGAGAAAAAGCAATTTGGAAGTCACCTGTGGCTGAAAGGTGAAGGGAGAGTTTGCAGTGCAGAGGACAGAGGAAAAGGAGGAGGAGGAACTTCCTGCCCAGTAGGAGTCATGAGCAAAAGCACAGAGGCAGAAAGTTCTAGCAGGATTGTGTCCTGCCAGGCTGGAGAAATTAGACTTGTAAATACAGGCAGAACGATGGAGAGAGAAACAAAAATCCCAGTCACTGAATGAGCATTAACTGTGCAAGGGAGTACCTTGGGTAGCACAGTCACGTGACACCATGAGCTGAAGGATAAGAGGACTTCTACTAGTTTGTGGAAAATGGACTTAAAAGGTAAGTTTCATTTAGCACAAAAAGTTCAATGTCAGCATCCATTCTTTTTTTTTTCTCACAATATGTGAAATTCCATGAGCTTTTTTCTTGCTAGAGTAAGAAAGCAGTTGTGGGATCAATCAACTGGAGGGGAAATAAGACGGAAAAGGCAGAGGAGTCTGCAGTAGACTGAGGGAGGAGCCATGATGGCTTAGACAAGGTTGAGTCTATCATGGCAGGAAAAAAAAGTTAATATGCAGGAGAGGTAGAATGTATTGAATTTTGGCTAGTTTGCAGGGAGCAGAAAGAAGGAAAACTCCATTCATTGATTTGCAAGACTGGGCACAGAGTGGTAACACCAACTAGAAGTGTAAGTAAGTGGGAAGGAAGAGGGGTTTGGTAGTGCAAGGATAGAGAAAGATGCTAGCAAAAGTGTGTTCCAAGGATGGCTTGAAGTTTGAAAGTGGGAAGGAAACCTCCAGGCAGGCGGAGGGGTTGCTGAGATCTGTAAAGGATCCAGTGAGGCTGAAGATTTGGTTTGCAAAAAGAAATATGAGCTGCTTCTATAATGTTCTGTAGTGATTGTGGATTATAGAGGTTGTGAGATTGAGTCAAGATTATGGTTAACAGAAGACTAAGGATAAGAACAAAGGCTGAAAATATTTTTGAATAAGATTGGAAATCTTATTTAAATGACCTGAGACTCTAACTGTGATTTATCATTACATATATAATTTTGTTGACAATTGCAGGTGGTAGAATTCTGTACAGAAGAAAACCACAATAAAGAAGCTCCAACCCTTCAAAACCAAAAATGCAACCTCCGGAGCACGTGGGAAGTGATCAGCGACTCTGAGGACTTCAAGAAAACCACTCCCATGACAACCCAGCCCCCTGCTCCCAGCTTCTCACTGCTGCAGATTGGGCAAAGAATTGTGTGCTTAGTCCTTGATAAGTCTGGAAGCATGTCGGTATGTTCGATAGCCTTGGTCTTCTGGAAGTTGGCTAAAGACATGTGTGCAGTGTGATCAGGACCACAATTTGTTCTGGGGATAAACACAGACCCAAGGCATTGCCATCAGAATCGCCCCTCCAGCTGTGTCCATCAAAGAGTTAGCACCACTGACTCATTTGCCAAATTAGTTTGCAGCTATGAGCAAAGATCTGATGAGTGACATGAGTTTGACTTTGTCTATGCTTCACTGACAAATTTTGGGGCTAGAGGCACACATAGAACTTACCTAGAACCATTACAAAAGCATTGAATCTGAATGACTGTGTAATCTGGCTTTACACTTTGCTATTTATACTAAACCCCTTAAATTCTACCTAAATTTAATGATGCTGCTAAGTATAAATGAGAACCGTTGTCCCAGAAGGATATGTCTCAAGTAAACTTGCTATCATTATTCAATGCCAAATCAGTCACTTCCAAATCCTTCCCTCCTGTTCTGAGCTTGTCCAGGTAAAGCTAACATGATCTCTCCTCCTCCAGAGTGACGACCGCCTTAAGCGACTGAATCAAGCCGGCAAGCTTTTTCTGCTGCAGATTGTTGAGGAGGGAGCCTGGGTTGGGATGGTGACCTTTGACAGTGTCGCCTATGTACAAAGTGAACTCAGGCAGATCAAGAGCAGCGCCGACAGAACTGCGCTCACCAAAAGCTTACCCACAGTGCCCGCGGGAGGGACGTCCATCTGCTCTGGCCTTCGAGCGGCGTTTTCAGTAAGACACGTTTCTCTATCATGCTTTGCAACAACTGCAGTTTATGTTTCCTAACACATTTCTTTACACACTTAGCAAATCACTGAGTTGAACAACCAAAAGCAGAACATTAGCTCAAACGCTGCAAAATGCAGGCCTCCAAGACGTTTCTTATCAAATCTCTTCATGAATTTGTGTGTTCTGCATCTGTTCACTCATGCCAGCAGTGCAAATGTTCCTAATGCACCTATTGTGTGCCAGGCACTGTGCTGGGCACTCCAAAAACCTGGAGGGCAAGACACCACCCCTTCTTTCATGGAACTTATTTTTTATTGGGAGAGCTGCACTAATCGCATAGTAGCAAATAAATCCACATGCACAAACTATAATGATAGCTAAGAAGAAGTAGCTCAACCCAGATATGGTTGAGCTCTTTATTCAGTAGATCCATAAAGTGTTTGGTTACGCTGCAATTTAAAAATATGCAATCTCAAAAACATTAATTTTTTTAAAAGAGCACACAAATACAAATTATATAATACATAGCATAAATATAGGTGTAATCTATATAGCACATGTGTATATATCATTATATATAATTATATGTAATATATGTCTATATTATGGATATATAACATTATATAGCATTATATTTTTGTGTGTGTATGTAGAGAGAATATGGTTCAGTTTTGAGATGTTTGAGTATTCTAGATTTCTTAGCATGTTGGATCTCCTTTTGGTAAAACAAATGGCTTATTTATGGAACAAGAGGAGTTAGAAACTGCATTATTTTATTGGGATCCTATCTAAAGATCTCACCTGATTATCCACATTATTCCTCTACTTAGATATCACTGTCTCTTCATTTCAGTAAAATAAATTATGAACTCTCCATTAAACAGTCCATGTATTTCATGATAAAACTCCTGCCCGCCTTTCCAGGCTCCCAGGCTCTCTGTGCCCCAGCACATTGGGTCACCCATCCTTCGGAGTTTCCATACTTCTGCCTGACTCATCCTTAACATAAGTACCCCTCCTCCTTTCTTCCACTTCAAAGCTCAGCATCTTGCAAAGGCTCATTGCTATATAACCTATTCCTGACATCCGTCTTGTCCCTAAAATTCTAGAATATCTTTCTAAATCCTATTACTCTTTTCCTAAAGATATCTTAATGACCAGTAAGCTCTTCTGCCATATTCTAACCATGTTTTTCAATCAAATAAAGCTTCTTTGGGAATAGAACTTATCTCTCCCTCCCAGACTGTGGAGATAGTATCATTTAGTCAGGAGGCTCTTAATAAATAAAACTGAGTCAAGTTCTTTAATGCACTAATAATAGCCGATGCTCAATGGCTACAAATAGGTAATATTGTATTCTAAACAAATACCCAACAATCTCTATTTGTTTAGAGTCCACTTAACTACAAAGTGAAGAATGGGAGGCTGAAAGAGGCTACTTGGCTAGTCTCAGAATCTCCAAGCATGTTAGCAGTTCTGTCTTTTGCCTGCTCTTTGGTCACAACACATGTCAATGGGGCTTGTGCACTTTCCTAAGCAGCAGTAGCTTCCAGACAGCACTACTTCTGTGCAGAATTAGACCATCTCCTTCAGGTGCTTCCTGTACCTCTGGCTGTTATATTTCACCTTGAAAGTCAGTTTTCTTAAAGGAGTTTCTGTTGTGAATACCATCCGCAGCAAATCCCTCTTCCAGAGCCTGGACACATCTGGGTTCCAGTGCCTGTGTCACCCACTCCAGCTTTAATTAAAGAAGCAAATTATGGGAGAAAACAGACATGGAAATCGCTGATTTAAACTTCTGCTATGCAAATCTCTGGGAGAGATGACGGTGTCCAGGACGTGTGGCTCTGTACTTTCCATTTAGATGGGTGACAGGGAATGTGAGAGATGCAACTGGAATGTAGAAACACCCTCTCCTCGCCTCCTCTTCCCCAGGAGTCTGAATGATGAGGCAGGGGCCTTAGATCCTGCATTTTGTTCAAGCCCCTGCTTCTGGCTGTTGCAAGACCCTGTTCGGCTTTCACTTAGGCTCCTTGCAGCAATGTCTGGCGTAGAACCTTGAGAACACCGAGTCTCCAGGCAGGTTATACATAGCTCAGCATCCACTACAGCACAAGGAGTTCTCTACCTGCCAAACATTAGCTCGGAGCCTCTCTCTGCTCTAGGCTGCGTGCAGAGATTTCTGCCCATTTTCCATGACGCATAGCCAATGACTGGGAGGAGGACATGGCAGTCCATACTGCAACCTCTTTATGGCTTTGCAGATCCTGCAGCTGGAACAGACCAAGGCCAGCACCAGAATTGACATGATCCTAGTCTCTGACTCTGTGACAGTCATAGAATTCCTCTTCGTATTTCATCAGAAACTGCTATAGGGGACAGTCTCATCTCACACTGGGGCAGAAGCCACCTCTTCACTTAACTTTCTTAATTGAGGTTCCTTCCCTCTCTGAGATTCTCAATTGGAGAGGAGAAATTATGGGATTTAGGATTGACTCTTTGTTCACTTTATTTCTGGATCTTTCCTGCAACTGTCTCTGGGGAAGGTAACCCTCATCTTCTTAAACGGATAACAGCATTCTTTTATCTAATTTTCTTTCAGAGTCCTCTTCAACACTGGCCAAAGAAATAACCTCTCTAGGCCACTTAAAAAACATATTTAATCTGATTCTACCTGGAAAAGTGGAGATGTAGGTGTCCTAGGACAATTAGGAACTAGTAATTAAGAGGAATAAATTATCTCATTTTAGACATAAAGGATATAAAAAAGTTTTAATAACTCCCATTACCTGGGTAATGTTCAATCAGAATTAATATATCCCCCAAATATAATCTCTATGAAATGTGAGTGATTTACTTTCTCCTGCTTTGTAAGAATTATTTATTTATTTATTTATTTGAAAGTCAGAGTTACAGAGAGAGAGAGAGAAACAGATCTTCCACCCATTGATTCATTCCCTAAATGGTAGCTACAGCCAGAGCTGGGCCAATTTGAAGCCAGGAGTCAAGAACTTCTTCTGGGTCTCCCATATGGGTACCATCCTCTGCTTCTGGGAAGCACTGTTGATTCCTAGGACTAATCTGAGTTTCACAGTTCCCTCCCTTTGCAGCTGTTGGGCAAATAGAAAAGAGGATGTTCATGGTCCATGAATGATGCTGTTTTATGTTCACAAAGTACACAGTTACTTCAACTCTCCTATTTGCTCCCTTGAACATTTCTTTCTTGTGCTCCTTAAGTATAGCTTTCATAAATATCCTGGTCACCCTCAATGCTGTGGTTGTTGTCCTTAGGTGATTAAGAAAAAATACCCAACAGATGGCTCTGAGATTGTGCTGCTGACTGATGGGGAAGACAACAGCATAAGCAGCTGCCTGAAGGAAGTGCAGCAGAGTGGTGCCATCATCCACACCGTGGCCCTGGGACCATCAGCAGCTCTGGAACTAGAGGAGCTTTCCAAAATGACAGGTGAGAGGGTACCAGCTGAGACTGTCACACAGCCTCTGCCCCTGGACTGTGAGCACCAGTGAACTGGGGCTAGAAGAAAGGAGAGAGGGAAGGAGCCATCTTTGCCACCCAACTGCCCTGACACAACACTCCTCCACTCCCCGTCAAGCAGCCATGAGAATTAATGTCACCGATTTATTTCGAGGCTTTGATTCTGGGAGTGGACAGTCTAAGGAAAATAGGGCCAATACAGCACTTTGCTGAGAAGGCAGAGCTCCCTTCTCAGGCATGTTGTAAGAACCAGGAGACATCCAACAGGTTAACCAAGAGCCATTCTCTTCCAAGTTGACAGCTGGCCAAGAGACCTCGGATGACAGATGACAAACTTCTAACTACACCCTAACCATGCTATGGGTGTTGTGCATGGCAAAAACAACGAGGCACAAAGAACTTTTCACAGGAAGGAGGGTCTGAGACAGAGAGATAAAGTAGCAAAGAGGAGGGCAAATGACCTAGTGACCAATGTAAAATGTCATAGAAAATATAGTTTACAATGTGATTTTCTCATAATGCATTAACATACGGTGCACCTGACTCACAGACACAGACAGATTGTTCAAATAGACCCTGTGTGTTCCTGATTTCTTTAGCAGAGTAGATGAGCAGCCTTTATTTCCTTTGTTGAATGTAGAGATAGTGTTGTGACTCTCAGTGATCATATTAAGCAGTTATCTTCTGTGGCAGGACTATCTGAGTCTAACGTTATCTGTGCTAGACTGGGCTTCCTAGTAGCAGAGCCTGTGACAGGGATTTTTGTGTATGTGACAGAAAGAGAGCCAGCTCTCGGGAGAACAGGAAGAAGGGCAAGACAGGGTGGGGCAGGAGCTTAGTGTGGATGCAGAGGTTGTTGGGGTCTAGCTGAAGCTTGCCCCACAGGAGACTCAGCATGAGGAGTGAGTGCATCACAGACTTGACTGCATCATGCTCAGTGACTGGCTGTGGATGGCAGGGAGAGGCAGGGACCGTTACTCTAGGTAGGGTGGCTCCTTCTGGTAAAGTAGCTGCTTGGAAAAAGGAGCAGCAATAGCCATTAGCAACCAACATTTAGACAGGTGGGAAAAGATGCACTCATGCAGGTAAGGGAGTTTGGGTAAGAAGACATCAACCGTGTTACTGAAATATTTCCCTAGCAGTTTATTTTTAAATTAATTTATTTAAAAATCCACATTGAGGTGTCACCACAATTAAAATAGCTACCTTCTAAAAATCAAAATAATCATAATAAATGCTAACAAGGATATATGAGACAGGGACCATCATACACTCTTGGTGGAAATGTAAACTAGCACAACCATTATGGAAGACAGTATATATATTCCTCAGAGATCTGAAAATTGATCTATCATATGACCTAGCCACCCCACTCCTGGGAATTTATCCAAAGCAAATAAAATCTGCATATGAAAGTTGTCTGTAACCTCGTTTCTACCAGCTCAATTCCCAATAGCTAAGACATGGAATCAGCTCAGGTGGCCATCAATTGATGACTCAATAAAGGAATGATAATGTATGCACACAATGGAATATTACTCAGCCATAAAAAAGAATGGGATCCTGCCTTTCAAAATAAAATGGATACAATAGATCATAGAGATGACTGTGCTTGATGAAATATGCCAGGCTCCCAAAGATAGAAATCATGTTTACCCTGACTTGTGACAAAAATTCATAGATTATTAAAAAGTGACATTAATATTTTGAGATTTGATTATATTCGCTTTTGAAGAACAGTGATTTTCTTGTTTGTTCATTTGCTATTTGCTGAATTATTTTTATTTAGTGGAGGATTAGGCCTATGAGTATAAAGTAAACTGAAATTTTGTCATTATAAAAATTAAAAATAAGAAAGGCGGAAGATGGGAGACTGGGAATGAGAGAGGGTAGGGTGGAAATACCATTGTCTTCTTAAAGCTCACATATGAAATGCATAAAGTGTATTTCCTTTACATTAAACAGATTATAAATTATGTATATATGTACATGATCAGCAGAGTTGCAGAAAGAGAGAGAGATCTTCCATTCACTGGTTCAGTCCCCAAATGACCACAACCGGCGGAGCTGGGCCAGGCCAAACCACAAGCCTGTGACTCCACCCAGGTTTCCCATATAATTCAGGAGCTCCAGCACAAGGACCATTTTCTCCTGATTTCCTGGGTATAATAGCAGGGATCTAGATCAGAAACGGAGCAGCTGGAATTTGAACTGGTACTCATGTGGAATGCTAAAATGACATACAGTGGCTTACCCCACTTAAGCACAATGCTAGGCCCCATTTTTAAAAAGTGTTTTCACATCACTTGTCCTAGTTATGCTATTTTTAAATAGTCCAAGAGAGCTGAATCTGCTGTATAATCTTATTATTTTACTACATACCAGAATTTTCTGTAACTATTTCTTTACCCATTACTATTTCTTGCAACCACAACATAGCATGCTTTCCTTTATTAGAAAGAATGCTGTTTGTTAGAATTATGTCTCAAATTAGAGAAAAGTGGGCTCCACGTTGTGGTTTAGTGGGTAAAGCAGCCACCTGCTCCACAGGCATCCCATTTGGACATCAATACCTGCCCTGACTGCTTCACTTTCAGTTAAGCTTCCTGCCAATGGCCTGGGCAAAAGCAGTAGGAGTTGTTCCAAGTGCTTTGGTTCGCATACCCATGCAGGATACCTAGAAGAAGCTCCTAGTTCCTGACATTGGCCTGATGCTGCACACGTTAGGGAAGTGAACTAGTAAACAGAAGCTCACTTTCTCTCTCTCTTTAACGCTCTCTGTTTAACTGTGACTTTCAAATAAATGCATTAATCTTTTAAAAAGAAGAGTAAAGTGAAAACCTTAAACTTTGATGGATTCTCAAACAAGAAGGGCATGACTTGTAAAATGTATAACTTATGTTATTAATTTTGTCTTGTCAGAGATTGAAGTTGTTTTGCAGGAAGGTGCAGTAGCCAGATGACAGAGATGTTGCTGAAACTATTATCAGCTTGAATTAAAAATTCAGTAACAAAGAAGAACTTTGGCACAATGGATAAAAATCACTGCTTGGGATACCCACATTCCATATTGAGTTACCCAGGTTTGAGTATTGGCTCTATTCTCCATTCCAGCTTCCTGCTAATGTGTACCCTGGGAGGCAGCTGGTGATGGCTCAAAAACAGGGTGTGGGGTTCCCTGCCACTCACATAGGAGACCCAGATTAAGTTCTTGGCTCCTTCAACATGTACCAACCTTGGGTATTAGAGGCACTTGAGGAGTAACTAGTTGATTGGAGTTCTCCTTCTTTGTGCCTTTCAAATAAAATAATTAATTTGAAATTTTAAAATAGCATTAACTTCTGAGTTAATCTGGGTACATAGTTCATGTCACCTACTTACACTTTAGCAATATACTCACAAAGATTTATTTATTTGAAAGGCAGATGTACAGATTCAGGGGGAGATACAGAGAGAAAAAGATCTTCCATCTATTACATCTGTCCTACAATGTTCAGGACAGGAGAGACAGGAGCTTTGTCCAGGTCCCCCACATGAGTGCAGGGGCTAAGAACTTGAACCATCTCTTGCTGCTTTCTCAGGCTGTTGGCATGGAACTGGATCCAAAATGGAGCAGCTGGGAATTGGAACTATGCCCAAATGGGATGTTTGTATCACAGGCAACAGCAGCTTTGTATTGGCCCCATATTCTGCAATGCTAACCACTGCTGAAATGTTGCAAACATTTGCTTTCTGGAATGTGATCTCTGATGATGTCATTGCATTTTAGGAGGTTTACAAACATATGCTTCGGATCAAGTGCAGAACAACGGCCTCATCGACGCTTTTGGAGCCTTTTCATCAGGCAACAGCGCCGCCTACCAGCGCTCCATCCAGGTCAGGGTTCTTCCTTGTAGGGTCTCATGTCTCTGTGTAGTCGTGGCCACCATGGAGAATTGAATGGCACAAAATTTTAGGTGTTACATTCACTCTTCCAGTAATGAGTCAAAATGGAAACTGAAGGTTCTACCTGATGTGAGACATTATTTCTAAGATCAATTCATGGTTACTTGTTTGGAAACATTGCCATGAGAATCCTCAGAAAACCAGCAGCATAATAATGGGCTCAGAGATTCTTTCATAGCATCTGCTCCCAGACACAGCAAGATGAGGGTAATTGAATAATTGGCTGGGATTTTTCTCCAGAATAAGTCATCTCAATCACAAGTTCCTGAAGTAAGGGTTCAGCAAGGATGAGGGATTTTTTGCTCTATTTTTCCATGAGCTCAAATCCCAGTTAAGTGCCAAGATTTTCAAATAATGAATGGAAAGCACTTTTTACTATGGAAAGTCCATGGTGTGAGTCCAGATACCTGGATCGTGGTCCCGGCTCCCCTCATTCACTCTCGACCTTGATTGAGACCTTCACCTCTGGAAGCATTAGATTCCTCACTGGGTGTGAACCAAAACCCTTCTAAGAACCCATCTGCTCCAAAAATTCAAGAAAATCGAATTGTTCTTCAAAAGTCCTGGGGCTATTGAAAACACAGACAAAAGTATTTTTAAAGATTTATTTTATTTTAAATGCAAAATTTTCAAGGGAGAGGAGAGACAGTGACAGCGAGAGATCTTTTATTCACTGGTTCTCTCCCCAACTGGCCACAGCAGGCAGAGCCAAGTGTACTCAAAGCCAGGAACCAGGAACTTCTTCAGGGTCTCTCAAGTGGGTGCAGGAGCCCAAGGACTTCAGCCATCCTCTGGCACTTTGCAGGCCATAAGCAGGGAGCTGGATCAGAAGTGGAGCAGCAGGGGATGGGATGCCAGTGCTGCAGGCAGAGGATTAGTCTGTACACTACCGCTTGGCTCCAGGACAAATATATTTTAGAAGGTTCTTTTTTCCAGTAGTTGTAGAAATTATTCACATACTTTTTCTTAAAGATGTATTTTATTTGAAAGACAGAGTTATAGACAGAAAGGGAGAGAGAGAGAGAGAGAGAGAGAGAGAGAGAGAGAGAAACAGAGTGATCTCACATCCATTGATTTATTACCCAGATGGTGGCCAGAGCTGAACCAATCTGAAGCCAAAAGCCTGGAGTTTCTTTCAGGTCTCCCATGTGGGAGCAGGCGTCCAAGCACTTCAACCATCCTCTGCTGTTCATCCAGGAGCATTAGCAGGGAGCTGGATCAGAAATAGAGCAGCCGGGACAGGAACAGGTGCCCGCATGGGACTCCAGCATCACAGGCTGAAGCTTTACATGCCACACAACAATGCTGGTCCCAAACATGAGTTTCTAGAGAGAGAGTAAATAAGTGACATGCACAACAGTGTGCATTTTAACTTTTATTGTGAAAATTTGAACAAAAGTAAAAATCCAATGCCTAAAAAGAAGAGATTTAACAACAGGAAGGTTTCTGGTCTGATGCAGTACTTATTTAATCTAAGAATTAAATACACTTGGGTTACCCTGTTGAAAAGAATAACATGTCAAAGAAAAATAAACTCATGGGGGGACAAGTTCGCAGCCAGGTAGTTCCTGCCCATTGTGTTTCTGTTGAAGAAACCTAAGATGGAGAGAGATAGGGAATGAGCACGTCATTTACTAACCTGTCACAGTTTCCAGATCTAAGACATCTTCACTTTATGATCTACTGTGAAACCGGAAAATTAGCTACATGGCCAGGCCACTCCATCCTTGAATGCTACCAATTTAAGGACAGTTGATCACTGAGGAAGAGCTAATCCTCAAAATTATGTTTTCTCCAAAAACTTTCTTAGTCCTCCCACCTCAGACCCTAATCTGTAACGACTCACTTCTCTTCTATATATGCATATCAGCCTTGGCCTTAGCCAAGGGATACTTGACCCAGCAGTTACTTTCCTGTAATTCCGACTCTCCCTATGTGAGTAGAAAGTTAGACTCAACCAGCCCCCTTAAGAGTTTACAGACTGACATATGAGATGCGCTGTGCGTATTCCCTACTAGGAAAAAACACTGTGATACATATCAGAAGTGTGCTCCAAAGAAATCATATGGATATTCTAAGGAAGGATGCTCTGTTGTAGTCGATCAGAGAGATTGACATCTGAAAACATTGAGTATGAATTATACAGATGGGAAAGAATGTCAAGACTTCTGGAGAGGAGGAGAGAAGCAAAGGCAGAGATTCGTGAAAGTCATTGGGGTATTGGCCTTGTGTGGGTGGGAGAGGCAAGCTGTGGGTGCAAAGGCTGTAAATGTGATTTAGAACTAGACCGGTTATGGGTCTAAGACACTAAACCAAGGGCTCAGGCATTGAAGCAGGATTTTTAATAAGGTCATTCTGACGTTAAGGATTGAATAGAAAAACACACACATGCGCGCACACAAACACAATAGGAGCTTTATTTTCTAGGAAGTCATAGCTGTTTCTCTTCACAGCTTGAAAGTAAGGGGACAACCTGCAAGAGCAAGGAGTGGATGAATGGCACAGTGGTGGTGGACAGCTCAGTGGGGAACGACACGCTGTTTCTTGTCACCTGGACATTGCAACCTCCCCAGATCCTCCTCTGGGATCCCAGTGGGAAGAAGCAGAATGACTTTTCAGTGGACAAAGACACCAAAATGGCTTACCTCCAAGTCCCTGGCACTGCCAAGGTATGAAATCAGCTCTTCCCCTTCACACAATTTGATTAATTGTTTTGTTTTGTTTTTACAGAATAGTTGTGGCATTTAAAATGCTGGTATTTTCTAAAGGGAAAGGCACTCCTGAACCAAAGAGAAAAAAAAAATCACTCAGTATGCCAGAGAGTCCAGAGAAAGGAAATGAAGGCTATTCCCAGATATAAAGGGGGAACCTTCCATTGGCAGAACAGGCAAGGTGCCAAGTTGGTCCTTGAAGCTTTGGGATCTTGGACATTGTTTTTTGTGTCTCAGGAACTCCCTTATTAGAAAACCAAGGCAAAATGATACAGATACCACTTCTGGATCTTAGTGTCCCCAGTAAGGATTTTACTGATATGGGAACAAAGCAGTTCATCCAAACACATCCAAAATTCCCCTGGCTGATTGAATATGAGAGACGGCCACATCTTCTTTGAGATGTTTACAACATGCTTGTGTCAGATGAGCTTCTTCTGTATGTAATATTGAAGTCAAGCCTATGTCATCTACAGTTCATGCACTGGAATATCTCCATTTGTATTTGGACAGGTGGGCATTTGGAAATACAGCCTGCAAGCAAACTCACAAACATTAACTCTGACTGTCACCTCCCGCGCACCAAGTGCTACCCTGCCTCCAATTACAGTGACTTCCAGAACAAACCAGGACACAGGCAAATTTCCCAGCCCTATAATAGTTTATGCAACTGTTCACCAAGGAGCCTCACCAATTCTCAGAGCCAATGTTACAGCTCTCATCGAATCAGTGAATGGAAAAACCGTCACCTTGGAATTACTTGACAATGGGGCAGGTAACCACTTGAGCAATTGAAACATATCTCTTTCTCTTTGCCAAAAGCAAATAGGGGATGGCAGAAGGGCATGGCCTGGTGGGCATAGTTAGAGTCAGAGCCCAGGACTGTGGGCTCTCCACTCTTCCTGCAATCCCTACATTCAAAGGTGTTGAGAGAAATGTTGAGGACCACCAGCTCTGTCAAGCCCAAAATGCATTAGTGGTTCAAACCCAGTGAACTCCAAGACTCTTGAGATTTGTCAGAGCTCCTAAAAAAAGAGAACAACCAAAACAAATATCTGTCTTACGGTAGACGTGCAAAAGAGTGTGCACCTGCACATGTGAACATGCGTCCAAGAACTCTTACATACAGATACACATATATACATGTCTGTCTGCTATTATCTACATATCCAAAAAGGCTATATTTCAAGATATGTGTGTATACATCTTCATCTTATCTTCATTACATAGTTTTCCAGTATGATTATATCTTTATAACAGATGAAGAAACTGATGCTTTGCTATTTATTTAAAGATTAATTTTTTGAAAGGCATAGTGACAGAGACAGGAAAAGACAGAGATTTTTCTGTTAGTTCACTCCACAAATGACGCATACTAAAGCCAGAAGCCAGGAACTCTATCCAGGTCTCCCACATGGATGTCAGGGACACTATATTTGGGTCATCATCTACTGTATGTCCAGGCACATTAACAGGAAATGGGATTGGAAAGGAAGAAGCAGCAGCATTCAATATGGGACACAGGCATTGTAAATGGTGGTTTAAGCCCTGCTCCGCAATGCTGGCTCCCAGGTTTCCATATTTTAAAAAGCAGTAGGAATTATTTTTAGCACAGTTTTATATAACTTCTGTATTTATATAGACTCCATATTAGCCTGCCCCCAACATGAAAATTCTGCCTTTTATTTTATTTTATTTAAGGAGTCTGTCACAGAGATTAAAGACAGTTCCACATTTCCTTTTAGAAAGTATGTCTGATTATTGTGGTACAAGCAATTTCTCTGAACAAATTCTTTCAACAAATTCACTTAAATCTTCCCTAGGGCGTGCTTGTGAATTTTGCATCAAATATTTTCATCTGCAGTCACATTCAGATATTCAATTTAGTTCAACAGATTGAGGAGTTACCATGTGCTTTGCTGAATGTAGCAGCGACTCATAATAGGATCTCTGATTTCAAAAACAAAAAACAATTCAGGAAGAAAACATGGACACATATAAACCCACACAAACATATGAACACATACAAGTGAATTAAAAATAGAGAGCTCGTTTTTAACATGGTTCATCTTAGAATCCCTGGGAGGTAATGCTAACCTTCTCTTCTTTGAAGCATTTTGCCTAGCCATGAGTCGGAAATATACAATTGCCCACTTACCTTTAGGATTTTGACAGATGTCTTCATTTGCCTGTGCAGGTGCTGATGCTACTAAGGATGATGGTGTCTACTCAAGGTATTTTACAGCTTACGACACAAATGGTAGACACAGTGTAAAAGTGAGGGCTTTGGGAGGAATTAACACAGTCATACAGAAAGCAACACCCCAGCAGAATGGAGCCATGTACATTCCTGGATGGATTGAGAATGGTAAGTAATCTGTAGCTACACATCTGGCTGGAGTAAAGCAGTTGGAACCAAGAGAACATCATATCAAGCCTCTGGAGTAGAACTGTATGTAATCGAAACAGGGTTTCTCACAGCTTTACTGACATTTTGGTCAGATAAAAGTTTGTTAGGGGCTCCCTTTATCTTGTGGGGATGGTTAGCTGCTTTCTTGGTCTCTACTCACACATGTTAGCAGCAGCCTGCCAGTCAAAAATGTTTCCATGTAGGTGTCAAGTCCCACATTAGAGGGCTTGGGCACTACTGCTCCAGTGGTTAGGTTTTCTCACCATACATGGGAGATGTGGATTGAGTCACCAGGTCCTGACTTTAGCCCAGCCAAGTCCTGACCATTGTGGGCATTTGGAGACTGAATCAGGAGATGGGACCTCTCTCTCTCTCTCTCTCTCTCTCTCTCTCTCTCTCTCTCTCTCTCTGTGTGTGTTTGCTTCTCAAATGCAGTTTTCAAAAAATTTATTCTCTTCAGTTCCCCACTGCTCTCTAAGAGTGTGAAATAAACCTCAATTGAAAAACCACTACATAAAAAAAAGAAAACCATTAAATAGAATATAGCTTTTGACTGCCTTGGTTCAAATCCCAGCCTCTACTTAGTAAAGCATAAACTTTCTGTTCTTCACTTTCCACATAGTAAAAGAAGGATGACAACAGTAACTACTTCATAGGATGGTTCTGAGGCCTAAACAACAAGAAGATACACTGAATAAATTGTTGCTGAAAAGCAGTATGTGTTCCATACATATTTACTATTTTTAAACAAATCTTCAAGACATTTTGTAATGTAGCTGCTTCCTCTGATACTGATATTTCCACAGGAGGTAAAACTAATGAGGGATCTGTTCTCTACCTCATTGTCATTTTCACAAGTCTATTGTTTTCCTCTCTAACACTGGCAAACCTGCTGAACCAATGCAGAAGGAAGACCATGTCCATGAGGCATCGAGTTTCACATCGCCCTTGGTTACAGCAAGAAGTCATGCCAAGGCTGAGTCCTAACAGGTTCCTTGTTTTCCATCCAACTCCGCTGTGTCCCAGGCTGGCCTTTCCCTATCCTGGGTTAGGGTACAGAGAGCAGCACTTCCTTGAAGCTTCCCAATGTCTCCTGTTCCTGGTTGCATGCTCAGTAAAGGGGAAAGTCCTGAGACATGTGGCATCCATCCTGTCCAGTAAAGGGGTCCATGGTATCCTCTGAAAGACACGGTGACTTCCACCATTCTTTCACGTTTTCGAGCTTTTATTCTCATTTTCTCCTCTTTCTGAGTTAGGGGTAGCAGAAAGCAGTAGACTGGACTAGTGACTAAGCCTATCTCTACCTAGTATCTAATTAACAGTAGGGCCTTTTATCCTCCTTTCAGAGAAAGGGAAATCAAGGACAGAGCGGCAGGGACCACTAAGGCTAATAGTGGTAGTTCATGGCTTGGCATTGGAAAGTCATGGTCCTTCCTCAGCTCAGGCCCTTGATGAGACTTAACACCCAAAGCAGTGGTTCCCATTGATGAATTTACTGCAGTGTAACTGGTAAAGCTGCTTCTGGTTTCCCACTCAGGTACCCATTCATGCACTAGCTGCACCACTTACAAACCAACTCCTTTCTAATGTACCTGGAAAAAGCAACAGAAGGTGGCCCAAGTGTTTCGGCCTCTACCATCCCTGTGGCAAGCCTGGAAGAAGCTTCTTGTGCTTGGCTTTGGTCTATCTCAGCCCTGGCTGCTGCAGCCACTTGAAAAATGTATCAACCAGTGAATGGAATATTTCTGTCTCTCTGTCTCTCTTGCTCCCTCTCTTTCTCTGTAACTCTTACTTTCAAATAAATTAATAAATCTTTAATTTGAAAAAAAAACAGTATAAAATTTTGGATCTCATAGTCTAAAACATTTCATAAGAACTGCAATCTGGACCTGGTGCGGTAGCCAAGCAGCTAAAGTCCTTGCCTTGTACACACTGGGATCCCATCTGGGCACTAGTTCTAATTCCAGCAACCCTGCTTCCCATTCAGCTCCCTATTTGTGGCTTGGAAAAGCAGTCGAGGATGGCCCAAAGCCTTGAGACCCTGCAACTGCTTGGGAGACCCAAAAGAGGCTTTCGGATCAGCTTAGCTCCAGCCATTGTGGCCGCTTGGGGCATGAATAAGCAGACAGAAGATCTTCCTCTCTATCTCTCCTCTTCTCTGTATATCTGACTTTCCAACAAAAATAAAATAAATCTTTAAAAAAACTTAAACAAAAAAGAAACTGCAATCTAATAGGCTAAAATACAAACAGGGAGAAAAGAGAAAGGAACAATGTATAGGATAAATGATCAAGGTAATTCTGGAACTTCTAAATGATTAATTAGTGACAATTTCTTCATGCAGATGAAATAAAATGGAATCCTCCCAGATCTGAAATTTATAAAAATAATCTTGAAGACAACCAAGTGAGCTTTAGCAGAACATCCTCAGGGGGTTCTTTTGTGATTTCCAATATCCCAAAGACATCCCCACCTGACCTCTTCCCACCCTGTCAAATCACCGACCTAAAGGCCAGAATTCAAGGAGAAAATCTCATTAATCTGACTTGGACGGCGCCTGGGGATAATTATGATCAAGGACAAGGTAAGCTGAATGGCTTTGGAGCTTGTAAGGAGTGGCCCATCCATGCAGAAGGGCATCCCTGGGTGATGAAGTGGGTGGGAGACAGGCAGAGGTCAGGAGGGATTTTGAATATGCTCTGAAATGAAAAAGTAAAGCTTTTTAGACAAGAGAGGTTTAGCTTCTGAAAATCCAGCCTCCTTGGGAGAATAAGAAGGTGCCGCCACAAAAGACGGACCTCAACGTCTTTGGGTTTTTCTGATGTCTTGTCCAACTGTCTTTAGGAAGCCCCATTCTCAATAGTGAATTTGGAGGAGAAACTATGAGTTTCTATGGAGCAGACCTATCCTTTAATAAGTATAGTCTGTGAACCATAGTGTGGGTACCCCATGGATGCTTGTTAGAAATGTGGAACTCTGGGTCCCAAACCAGACCTGCTGTGCCACTGTCTGCTTTTTAAGACCCTCTGCGTGATTATATGCAGATTGCAGTTTGAGAAGCACTGATACCAAAACTCCTCAACAATTAATAAAATATGAAGTGATAATAAAACAAGTCCCTCTCTCAGCCGTGCCCTGTAATGCTGATTCAGGCTCTAAGTGATGCCCAATCTAGTTATATGCTTATCACCTTTCAGGACACACAAACAAGAGTTGTGGAAGAGTTACAGCCCTTGCAAATATGGGTTGTTAATCTAATTTATTCACTGAAAAGTTTGGGGATGTCAATGTAAGTTCTCGTATGCTTTGAAAACTCCTTTAAGCTTGAATAATTACAAGGTGTATTGTTTTCCTCTTTTATTTCTTTTTAGCTCAGAAGTATATCATTTGTATAAGCACGAGTGTTCTTGATCTCAGAGACAAGTTCAACAAGTCTGTTCAGGTGAACACGATGGATCTCATCCCAAAGGAGGCCAACTCTCAGGAAGTCTTTGTGTTTAAGCCAGAAAACATTACCTTTGTTAATGGCACAGATCTCTTCATTGCTATTCAGGCTGTTGATAAGGTCAATCTGAAATCAGAAATATCCAACATTGCCCGAGTATCTTTATTTATCCCTCCCGAGACACCTAGCATTGAAGTCACTCCCACCTGTCCTGATATTAGTATCAACAGCACCATTCCTGGAGTTCACATTTTAAAAATTATGTGGAAGTGGATAGGGGAATTGCAGCTAACCCTAGGTTCAGGCTGAGTTTTTCATGAGATTAAATAAATGACCCAAACTTCTTTTGATTATATAAAATTTATTCTATATTTCCTTTGGTGGGTGACACAATTAAATGAAATACTAAGTAACTGGGTACCTATGTATAAAAGCTATGTTTAAATCTGAAAATTTGTTTGTCAGATCTTTTGTTAGTAATTTTGGATACTATAAACAATGCTTATGGGAATATGCTTAGATGGGTTTTAAAGTGCTCCCCAGTTAAAGGAGACATGTAATTGCAGTTCATCTAATTAAATTATTAACAGTTGTTTGGTTTCTGTTGAAGGATATCACATCATTAAATACAAAAGGCATTACTAACTCCATTGGTACTCAGATCACTGTGACTATGAGAATTAGACACTAATTGAGAAATAAACATTCTTGTCTATGTTGTGCCAAGTGCTCTACTAATGTCTCATTATGCATTACAGTATTTAATGTAATCAATGTATTTAGTGTAATTCCTTTCTTCCAACAAATACGCATCAGCTGTCTGTTCTAAATCCTGAGGATACAAAGGTAAATGTTGGTCTTTGTCCAGCAGGCAAGGAAGTGTATTTGAGAACTTACTTTTAAAACCAGGAGGCTGAGGCGATCAGAGAAAGGGAAGTTGGGGGAGAAAGGGAGCTGGATTCAGGTGGGATTAAAACATGACCTATAAAGGAAGAAGAGAGGAACAGGAAGAGGGAATAAAAGCATAGAACTAGCAGTATGGCATTCCCCATCCAGTTTCGCATTACTGATGTCAGGATCCACAGGGATGAATATTCGTATGAAAAGCCTTTTGAATTCTCAGCCCCTTAACAAAATAACTTTAAAATGTACCTCCCTGATAGAAAACAAAATATCTGGGCTATTGTTTCTATGCATATCCAAAATTTATCTTTTCACTTCTAAATCTTCACTTTCAAATAGGATTTGAGACACCATAGAAATAGAAGCACAATTCAAAATGTTCATGAGAAAGTAAAATTAGAAGGTGCATTAATTTTGGTCCAATTCTGAAATGCATGCAGGATTTTTCAGGATATGCACGTTCTTTGAACTTTGTGAAGACCCCTTGTATACATGGACTAGAAAGGTTTTTTTGCAGCAAAGTAAATTTAACTGTTAGTTCCGTTCCCATGAACTCTTTGAAGTACTTTTATACATACAATAAAAGCATAAAAGTATAATAACATCTAGAGTAAAGATCAGTACATGCAGTGCATGGTATAATATTCTGTGCAGTTGCTACAGCCAATTCAGTACATTTCATTTTGACCTTTCAAGTAGGCAGTACAAAAGGGAATGTATATTGTAACTGGATTAGCAGACTCCACAGTTCAAAACAATCCAGAGATTTAGGGAGAACATGGGTTTTCCTACTCCTGATACTCATGAGAAGTTGCATCCATGAATCATCAATAAATTAAATTAGAGCACCATAATATTAAGAACAGCAGTTTTAACAACTTTCCTATAATAATCCATCAGAAGTCTAATATTCTGCTAATCACATCCTTCTCTGCAGGCCAATGGAGGAATTCCTTAGTGTTGTTTAGAAAAGGCAATTCTACAGGAGCCCAAATGTGAGTCTAGAAAACAGCCCTTGAGCCTACTGCAAGGATAACATTTTGAGTGAATGGATTGTCTTTCAGGCTGTTTTCCAAGGCTCATGTTCCTTACATACACCTTTTTTTTCTAATGACTGAACAGAAGAGGATTCTAAGGCTGGGAAAACACTGATGTCCTGAAAGAATGCTTACTAAGGTATATCCAGGTGCTTTGGCACCCGTAAGATCAGAGGGTCAGAACAATCTTTTCCAAGTTACAAAACCAATTAGGACACTTATCTGGCAAGAGAGACATTTACCCCCTTTATGTGGACAAATGAGTCTAAAGCCACACTCAGCTCCATGGAGCATGGCTACCAAGGGCTTAGTCTGGAAAATATCTAAAACTCGTTGAGATTTTCATTCCCACTTAAGGAAAACTCTGGAAGGTACCATGGGACAAAAAAGAGAACTGCATAGGTGGATATGGTGAAACTTCCAATAGGAAAAGAGATAAATGTCAACATGAGAATCATAAAGAAAAAGGCATTCTTGGGGCTGGTGTTTGGTGCAGCAATTAAGACACCCACATCCCACTACGTCATAAGTGCATTGCTTCACATTAGTTTTTCGAAAGTTTCATACTGTGCTGTGCATCAATGACCTTCATCCATCCTATTTTACCACACATTAACCTCATCCAGCCAGTACTTGAATCACATTTTTTCCCTTTCCCTTTCTGAATAATATCAGAATTATATACATGAATCAATAGCTTGGTCTCAAATGTTCTTGAGCTTCATTCTAACTTTCTTAGACTTCAGCATGCCTTTGAACTGAATCATAAAAATGCCTTCATGCAAGTTTAAAAAATGAAAGATTATGGTGATTGCAAATGATTTGACCTCATACTCCCAACCTCAGACTGTAGACCTATTAGCATCCTGAAACAGATCCACTTGTGAAGTCTTAAATATCTGGTGTCCCATGCATGCTACATCCTTCTCTTCCTGAGTGGCTCACTTTCCTCCCCCACTGGCTTTGTAATGTGGTGGTGACCCTCAACAATCATTGTATCTTTTCATCTCCTCCAGCATTCCCTACATTCCTCCACAAAGCAAGCCCGGCCTCCCTTAACAGCTCTCTAACTCCCTCATCTAATTATTATTATTATTATTATTATTATTATTATTCTGCTCTCCACTTCCATGATTTATTTTAAGTATATTGTCTGTGTGCTGGGTACATTCAACACTCAGTTACACATTTAAAAGTTATTTTAAAAGAAACATTATTTTTAGTATTGTTTACATAGTTGAGAGAGATGCATGCCCATATTAGGCTCTGAATAGGGTGAGGAGGGTCGTGTATGGAAGAAGGTGGGTGGGATACAAGTTTCAGTCATTTTTTTCTCCTGTGTCCACAGGGGAAAAGGAGGGGGCTGATCTTTGCTGTCAAACTACATCAGAACCTGATGATGCCCTAGAGACCCTGATATAAGGAAGAGTGTTCCAAGGGTGTTATTTGAGAGGTTTTCATAGTCCTGACACATCTCATTGTTCCAGGGCTGGGAAAATATTTCCAATGTCTACTTGTTCACAAAGTCCATCTTAGTGTACCCACAGATTCAGGAACATGTGACGAAGCTTGGTCAGGAGAATTGTCTAAACCACTCTGTTTTCCATCCTCTTACAAGACAGTTGGCATTGTCCACTGATCTAGATGAGCTGGCTCTCATATCTGCCCCATGTATCTGGTCATGCTGTCCATTGGACTGAATTCAGCAACTGAGGAGGCCCAGTTCTGATACATGTACTACAAGGTTGGACTACACATTCTCTGATTTTCCCCGTGACTGGGATCTGAATTCAGTGATAAAGTCAGTGAGTCTCTCAAGAGACTGAGACCTCACCTGGGTTGACATCAGATTTGACTCTTACGTGAGCCAACTGGTGAAGGGTTGGGTGCACTCTGTCACTTGCACCAGCCAATGCTCATATCAGTGGATGGAGTTTGGTCAGTTTTGAATCAGCTCCCTAACTCACAGGAACCAGCATGTAGTATAGCCCAGCACCATCAGCCCACCACAGACCCAATCTCACACATATTAGCTTTGTCTTGGCCTAGTTGGGGCAATCTCCAATAGTCCTCACCAGATCCACCACAGCCTTAGTTTTTGCATGTGTCAACCTCTGCAGTGGCCTAGCCTGGCCCAGTCCACATTCCATCCAGCTCTCATGCACACCCATGGGTGCTGTGGCTTAGCTCAGGCACCTCCACCTTGTCCAGTTTGTCCCACCCACAGCCCTGGTTCTTGTGTTCACCAGTGAGGGCGCAGCCTAGCAGGGGAGTGCCCCCAGCCTGGCTTCCATGCTCCACAAAGGGAGCTACAGACTAATAGGGGAGTTCCCCAAGATCCCGTAGCAGGTCTGCTCCTAGCCCCAGATCCCATGTATGCCAGCAGAGCAGCAGCCCTGCTTGGCATGATCTGTCTTCAGTCCTGACCATTGCATGTGCCAATGGGTGTTGCAGCTTGGTACCACCTGACCTTCTGCCAGCCCCAACTCCCACAAGTATCAGATGGATTCCTGTTAGGTGAGTTTTGTGATCCAGCCTGGTTTGACCTGTAACTGCCCCCAGCTCTCTATATAAGCCAGTAGATGATGCAGTCCCTCAAACTGAGCCTAAGTCCCCTACAGAATCTGCCTCCAGATCTGATTCTGTTGTATTCTTGTGGGTACTGCTGATCAGGCTGACATGGCCCAGCTCCTGCTCCAACACTGGCAGGGGGTACTATGGCCAGCTAGGCATGTCCCCCAGCCACAACCTTTGTGAGTGCCAGTAGGCAGTGGATGATGCTGTTTAGCCTAGCCCAGGTCTCCAACATGGGTGGATATACTGGCCTGACCCAGACATGCCCTCCAGATTCTGCACTCTAAACTACTCCATCTCAGCTCCCTTGCTTATCTGTGAGTGCAGTGGCCCAGTCCAAGGAAGACCCCAGAAGTCATTCCTTCTCTGTTAAGCATGCCCTAAGTTATTCGAGTTGCAATACATCCCCAGATTCTCTTTCCCGGGCAATCTGCAGCCTCCCCACCAAGGGTCTTGGGTGGAATGCCTGGAGCTAAAGTCTCCATCTTCCCCACTTGAAAGGAAGAAAGAAAGAAAGAAAGAAAGAAAGAAAGAAAGAAAGAAAGAAAGAAAGAAAGAAAGAAAGAAAGAAAGAAAGAAAGAAAGAAAGAAAGAAAGAAAAAAGAAATAAACACGTATGTATGCTGGCATACTACTAGAGTTAACACAAATGTGGCATTAACCAGGCCCAGAATGCCAGGCAGCTATTGGCTGCTTCTCTCCCAGCAGTGTAACACTTGCCCAGGTCAGGTTTTTCAACTACCCATATTGCATACCAGGCTCTGTTATATAAAGGTTGAGAACATAAGCAGGTAA